AACAATAGCTCAGGCCTCAATCTTACGGCCATCTTTCTCCCTCAGTCTGCCAAGTGCTAAGATCATAGTACACCCCACTAGACTAGATGACAAAGATTTTAATTTTCTTTTCTACACTCTGTAACTTACTTTCTATAATAGATATGTATATGTGTGTAGGTGTGCATAGATATGTGTGTGTATATATATACATATCTTTATAATAGAAATACAATTTCCACCATTTTCAGTTATTTATAATATCTACATTCTTGGGCTGAGTCCTGATGTAATCTAGCTCCCAACTGTTTGTCAGACTTATTTTATACTGCTGAATTCAAACGTTCTGCATGAGCACAGTTCCCTGGCTGTGCTCGCTTTCTCTTCCTGGCATGTGCTTCCCCATTCTCTTTGTCCTGATCCTGTCTGTGGATCCAGCTCTAGGTCGGCTCCACAGGCAGCCTTTTCTAGGGGAGGAGTCAGCAGGCAGTATGTAGAGGTTGCCATGCACCATGTGCTGCTTTCCTTGGTACTTGGTATAGCATGTAGACCTCACAATAACTTAGGGAGGCTGCTTCAAGCACCTTCTACACTTTCCTCCAGTTATACAGTATCCAAGTTGGAATTTTTTTTTTTTTTTTTTTTTTGGTCTTTTTGAGACAGGGTCTCCCTGTATCCCCAGCTGTCCTGGAACTCACTATGTAGACCAGGCTGGCCTTGAACTCACAGAGATCCATCTGCCTCTGCCTCCTGAGTGCTAGAATTAAAGGCATGTGCCACCACACCCCGACCAAGTCAGAATTTGTAACTGGCCAATACCAGCCCCAGTTCAGCAAGCTCTGTTTCCCCCTTTTGTAGTTTATATTTGAATTATATGTTTCACAGAAGTATATTCTAAGATAAATGGCACTACTTCAATGTTATTTGGAATTTATATTTCATATTTTTATCTTCTCAACAAAATGTTTCATGGAGAAACTTGGGTTTGAGTTCCAACTTATTTACCACTTCTGTGTCTTTGAGCACACTCCTTAACTTTTCTCAGTCTCAGTTTCTTCCACTTTATATTGGAAAGATCAGCTGTGTGTGGTGACACCCAACTGTAATCACAGCACTTAGGAGCTTGAGGCTCCTCCCCAACTTTTATGCTAACTAAAAACAATACTAAACAAACTTGTTCTGAAATGAAAATAGCTTCTTTTATGTTCTCTAGTTACAAAATCTCGAAGCCCGTTTTGCTGGTTCCCTAAGTATATGAATTCTCTGTTGGCCTTTAGGGACCAGGGCTAACTTAACCCTCTAAATGTGCTGAACACTGTTCCAGTTTAAGCTTGGTATTTCTTTCTGGGATTTTATTAGGAACTGTTCTAATTCTGTAGGTCAGTTTAGAGAAAAATTTATATCTTCACTATATTTTTACTATATTGGTTCTTCCAACCCCTGGATATAATAAACCTAACCAGTTAGGTCTTCATTAATTGTTTTCATGAGAATCTTATAATTTTGAGCCCATTTCTTATACCTATTTTGATATGCTTAAATTATGCTTTACAAATTCATATTCTTTGATGGGTGTTGTGGCAAATGCCTATAATCCCAAGACTTGGGACACAGAGGCAGGAGGATCAAAAAGTTCAAGATCATCTTCAGCTACATGAGTTTGAGGTGAGCCTGTTACATAAGACCCTGATCTCAAAACAACAACAAAAAAGTTCATATTCTTTGGTACAACTGTAATGATTATTTATATTTATTTATTTATTTATTGGTCTTTTTGAGACAGGGTCTCCCTGTAGCCCCAGCTGTCCTGGAAATCACTATGTAGACCAGGCTGGCCTTGAACTCACAGAGATCTGCCTGCCTCTGCCTCCTGAGTGCTGTGATTAAAGGTGTGTGCCACCATGCCAGGCTTATTTTATTTGTTTTTACTTTATGTGTATGAGTGTATTGTCTGCATGTATGTGAGTGCACCTGTGTCGTGTAATGCCACGGAGGTCAGAAGAGGGCTTCAGATTCCCCTGGAACTGGAGTTAAGGATGGTTCATAGCTGCCACGTGGGTGCTGGGAATTGAACCTGGGTCCTCTGCAAGAGCAGTCAGTGCTCTTAACCGCTGAGCCATCTCTCCAGCCCTTGTAATGGTATTTTTAAAATGTTTCCATTATGCACATGCACACATGCATGGAGAGGAAGGGAGGAAGGGAAAGAGAGAGGGAGGGAAGGGGAGAGAAAGGAGCTTTTTAGTGAGTGAAAAGAAATGTACTCTTTAGTGAAGTAAATTTGTTTAATGGTTTTTTTATTTAACTTGCTGGTCTAGTGTTTATCCTAACCATCCAAGTGCCTCTATTATGTGCCTCTGAACATCTTTAATGTGACATTATCTAACCAACAAACACCAAGTCTCTTCTGCTGTGGGGAGGGTCTGCTCCTTTGTCACCTGAACATACCTCATTCATTTAATTTCCATATCTTTGCTAATGGCATTTTCCTTCTAAAACAGTCCTTTCACAAAAGGCACAGCAGCTCACACCTGCAACCCTGCTCAGGAGGGAGAAGGACTGCTGAGTTTCAGGCCAAACTGGGCTATTATAGTGAGTTCCAGGCCAGTCTGGGCTATAGAGGGAGAATTTGTCTCAAAAAACAAAAAGAGAAAAAGTCCTTTCCCTGAGTCTTTTACCACACACTAAATCTTAATCTTTAAGGAGGTTAAAGCTTTCTGTAAGTAAGATGCCTTTAGTTAAAAATTGCTCCACTCCTTTTTTCCTCTGGACTTTTTTTTGAGGACGTCTCATTATGTAGTCCAGGCTGGCCTCCACCATTTAGCCTCTGCTTTCTGACCTCCGATCTCTTTTAACCACTATTGTATGCCACTTTAATTCATTTTTTCTTAGCTTTAATCTATGTCTTGTTTCCTAATTAGATCATATTCAGCGAAGACACCCACAGAACAGCTCTCATAGATAAATGGAAGACACCCCAATTTAATCCTATAAATGGAGAAAGAGGAGGGAAGTTTCAAGGCTACTGGAGCTGTAGCGTGAACCATTAGATTTTCTGAATCCTTTAAGCACAGTCTATTCCTGCCTTCCAGTAACTCCCAATACCTCCAACTCTGCAGACTGGAGATGCACATGGTTTTTAATAACCCAACTGTTGTTAAAAGCAGGTTCCAGGGAATCTGCAGTTCCACGTCCTGTCCACCAGAGGACGAGGAGCCACCAGCGATATTGTTCCCCCTCCACTCAAGCCCGCAAGGGGTCAGGGCACAAGCTGCAAAGTTGGGTTTGCATAGGCACACGTACAACTTCAAGTCCTCTGCTGTGCTCTGCTCCAAACGGGCTCCTTTACATCCTCTGAAAGATGAGCTGAAGTTTCCGGAGGCATAGTCCATAATGGTTACCTTAAATGATTAATGATTACCAGTCATAACGGATGCACCTTTGTTGCAGGACTTAAGAGGCAGAAAAGTACTAAGAGATGTATACGCTTTGTAATCCATCCCAGACTTGCTTCTTAGTTCTTTTGCCAGTTAAAAAAAAAAAGTCCCTTGGGGGCTGGAGAGATGGTTCAGCGGTTAAGAACACTGTTTTTGCAAAAGACCTGAGTTCGAATCCCAGCACCCACATGGCAGCTAAAAACTGTCCGAAACCCCAGTTCCAGGGGATCCAAAAGCCTCTTCTGTCCTCCGCTGGGCATTGCACAACACGGGTGCACTTACCCACATGTAGGCAATACACGCATACTCATAAAATAAAAATAATAAATAAAGTATTTTTAAAAAGTCCCCTGGGCAGTGTCCACATTGATAGACCACAGCAAACTGCCTTGAGGGGCCAGAGTCCCTGCTTCAGTACAGTGCAAGAGCCCTGTTAAGTCTGGCTCATGGGCAGTCCACTCTAAGGGTGCTTTTCCATCATTAATCATATCATCTTTGTTATGTGATATCCACGTGAGTCCTCAGTAAAAGCAGCTTCATGCTCAAATGCTCAAAGAACACTGGAATAAAGCCCCGATTGTCCTATTCAGTGACTCGGAGTCTGGGTTTGTCACCACCTCAGGTCTCCAGTTTTCCAAAATATGTAGTGCCTCAAAGCAAAGCTACTTTGAAGAATTCAAATTTTTGGAAAAAAAATGCATGCGATACTGGGAATTAAATCAGCCGAGTCTTTCATTTCTCCTGACAGTGATCTAAAGATGCTGTACTATCCAATGTAGAAAAGATCTTAATTTTTTAAAATTACATTTTACTTGTGTGTGTGCACACGAACGTAATAGGGGCAGGTGTGGGGAACGAGCGTGGAGGTCAAAGGACAACTTGCGGGGGTGGTTGTCTCCCACCTAGCACGTCTGGGACTCAACTCTGGCGTCAGGCTTGGCAGCAAGCTCCTGGGCCATCTTACAGGCCCGTAGAATATATTTTCCAAGGAGCACGCTAGGCTGCTTTTATTATAAATATAAAAATAAGCAACGTGAACTCATTTAGGGGCATTCATATGGGACTGTCAGCCGCAAACACATCTGGATGCCTGACACCGCTAGTGCCACCGTCCTTCCAGTACCTGTAACTTCTCTCTAGAGCCAGCAAAGGGCTGGATTTTGAATGGGATTCCCTTCTTAAAGAGACTGTCGCTCTCTGATCATCGTGTTTGGGTTTAACCTGCGTCGGGTTTTAGGGGGGTTGTGGGCGGGCGGGGGGGGGGGGCTGCCGACTCCGCGTAGAGGCGGGGCGCGAAGCCAGGAGCGACGGGGCGCAGCAAGCCGTGGAGGCCGCGGGCCACGAACCCAGGAACCACAAGGCGGGCGGGCGCAGGAGACCGTGGGTCGCGAACCCCAGCACCACCGGGCGCACGGGCGGGCGCAGCAAGCGGGAACTGCCACCGGCCGCCTACGCGAGCCGCCCGGCTCCTCCTCCCAGCAGCGCCTGCGGAACCTGCCTTGGAGTCGCCGGACTCCGGACCCGGAACGTGACCCGACCCCTCCTCCCCGAGCGGCCTCGCTTCGGCCCGGGCCAAAACGCCGGCAGCTCCCGAGGGCCGAGCGCTGATGGGCGGGCAGCGCTCGGCTCCGCCTAGCGCCCACCGCCCTGCCCTCGCCTGTCTCCTCCTTTCCCCGGGGCTCCGCTGAGTTCATTCACTGGGATTGGTTTCAAGTGACGCCATCTCTTTATTTTTAAACCAATGACCTCATCCGCGCTTGAAGTTTCCTGACTAGCTACTCTTTCTCCCTTCCCAACCCCCCCCGCCCCCCCTCATGCCGGGTCTCACCGTCTGGGGGGCTCATCCATTTTGAAACCATTTATTTCCCGCCTCTCGGCTTTCCTCGTGCGGCCCCCCACCTTTACCTCCTCGAGTGCTTCATCCCTGTCGACATTTTTTTTTTCTTTTCGGGGGGTGGTGGAAGAGAAAGTGAGGAAAAGTTGCAAACGGCCGGTCCTCGCCGAGCTCCCCTCCCACCCTTCAGAGGAGGACGCCGCGGGGAAGAGGACGCGAGCGCGGAGCGGTGACAACGCCGGGAGCTCAGCCGCCCTCAAGTAAGTGAGCTCGGCGGGGCCGCGCGGAAAACTGGTCGCGCGTCCGGAGCCCGCGTGCGGGACGCCGCGTCCTCCCCGGGGGGCGTCGCGAACACGCTGTGGCGACCGCGGCCGGAGCCGCTCGAACGTTCGCAGCGGGGGGTGTGTAGGCCGCGCTAAGGGCGCGCGGCAGCTTCGCGTCCCCGCACCCCCGGCCTCGCCGAGCCCAGCCGAACCCAGCCGAGCTGAGCCGAGCGAGCTCCTGGCCGGATCTCGGCCCCCGCGGGTCGGAGGCACCTGGACTCGCGAAGCTGCTCAGTTTGCAGGCGCGACTGTTGCACAACAAGTGGGGCCTGACTGTTCCCATTATTCCCAAATTCACCTTGAGGCCACCTGGCTGGTGACGGTGTCGCTTCCTTAATCTCACCCCCACCCCCCCAAAAAAAACAAAAAAAAGCAAACATCCCCGCGGTTTTCAGACTGGAACTCGGGTCTTCCTGTAGGGGGGTCCGGTGCGTCTGGGATTTCTTTATTTACACAAGCCATAAAACGGGAGGAATTAAAAACCCAACAACAGAAAACGGACGGTCTGTGTGTCATATGTAGTTTCATGTAAGAAAAACCACAGAAGGAAATGTGTATGCAAACCCCGAAGTTTTCCGATGCTGGGTTTGTTTCCTGCAGAAAGCTGGCAATAAATCTGGGAAACATACATGTAGATCTTAAAATGAATGGTCACTGTAGAATTCGAAGGAAGCTTCCTACACGTCTCATGCAAAGATCCTTGGCGTTTTGAAGTCCTAGGTGTCTCAGATTGTTGGGAGAAAGCACACCTCTAATCAGGCTCTGGTGAATAGGGGGGAGGAAAAACCTGTTGCATAATCTCATTTACTGTGGAGTTTGCTATGCCGTCCCGTCTCCTTGAACCAAGGGGAAGTGAGTTAAGATGTAGGGCTTTAAAAACTCTCTGAAGTTTTTATTTACCCAGTGTGCTGGCTGCCACTTTACTTTAAAAGATTATAAGTAAATACTCGGCTCTTAACCAGCGAATCAAACCTATCAAACCTGTCTGGAAAATGACCAGGTATGTTTTCTCTCTCTCTCTTTCCCTCTCCAGCCTTCCCTCTCTCCCTTTCTCCCTCTCTCAGGAGAGAGGGTGAAAGACTTACCATCCATGAAAGACTTTCTAACCATTTGGGAACTAGAATGTCAGGGGAAAAAAAGTCTCCTTAGCCATTCTGAAGGGCTGGCTTGGCACAGGTCGGTGACAACTGGTTCCTCAAAGGAGTTACGTTTTTCCATCTCAAGAAGAGAATTAAAGGTATTTTTTCAAGAGAAGAAAACTTAAATCGAAGCAATTACTTTTTAATTACTTACTTGAGACTCACATATATTGATGAACCCAGTTTGGGAAGTTGTAATTTATTAAGGCTTGTAGAGTTCTGGTATTTGGTGAGGCCATTAACTTGGAGAGGTAAATAGAAAACTGCAGAATTTGTGGCTTTGTGTACTGTAGTCAAAATGTGACCAGGCACTGTGAAAGGTTTTTTTGTTGTTGTTTTAAAAATAAAGTTGTGGAATTTACTGAATTTGAAGACAACGTGGGAGGTTGTTACTTAATTTTTTTTTTAACATTTGCTGGCTTATGTAAAAATTTGGGTCAATTAACTTCAGCCCGAATTAGTTTTTAAGGAAAATAACTTGTATTTATTAGAGTTCCACATGGAGAGAAAATTAGAAATGAGTTTATTTTGAATTCTAGTAATCAAGTGAATAAGTTGGTTCAAGCACATTCAACCTACATTTAAATATTTTTTAAAAAATGTAACTGTTGGTAATGATATTTACACATTTTTAGTTTTATCCTCTGATATGTCAGTAGCTCAAGTAAAATGTCTATAATTTGGCTTACAACTGTACAGATTTTACTTGAATGTTTCGGATGGTGAATAATTATGGACAGGGCCAGAACAGAATTGCAGAATTACTCACTTTTTTCACCCTGTTCAATTTGGAAGTCCTTGTCCTTTGGTTTAGCTTGGTGAATGTAATTGAGTACCTATAAAATAAAAAGTTACTGTAAGATTGGGGGTTCCTGGCCTGTTTGACCAAAAGCTTAATGGTGGTACTGAGAAGGGGGCAAAAGGGGAGATCCTGTCATCCTAGCCCCCCCCCCACCTTTTTTCTTACATATTAAAAAATTATTTGTGGAATGGAAGGGAGGAAGTCAAGATCAGCTAGTTTAAAAAGTAGGTCTGAGCCTTTAATCCCAGCACTAGGGAGGCAGAGGCAGGAGGATCTCTGAGTTCAAGGCCAGCCTGGTCTATATAGTGGGTTCCAGGACAGCTGGGGCTACAGGGAGACCCTGTCTCAAAAAAGACCAAAAAAAAAAAAAAAAAAAAGTAGGTCTGGGTTGGCGCTAGATGAGGCCCTGTATTCAAACCCATGTTTCCTACCTCCCTTTGAAAAAGAGAAGGTCTGGGGGATAGAGAGATGGCTCAGCGATTAAGAACACTGACTGTTCTTACAGAAGACCGAGGTTCGAATCCCAGCACCCACATGGCAGCTAACAACTGTCTGTAACTCCAGTCCCAGGGGATATGATAGCCTCTTCTGTCCTCCGCGGGCATTGCATGACACAGGTGCACTTAACCTACATGCAGGTTTAACACTCATACACATAAAATTAAAAATAAAAAATTTTAAGAAAAAAGAGAAGTCTGGAAAGGTTATAGAGTTGGGGCTGGAGTTAAGGGAAGAGACAGAATTAATGGTAGGTTTTTGTTTTGTTTTATTTTTTTTAAATATTTTATTATTTTTATTTTATGTGTATGTGTGTATTGCCTGCATGTATGTGAGTACACCTGTGTCATGTCGAGGCCAGAAGAGGGCTTTGGTTTCCCCTGGAACTGGAGTTAAGGATGGTTCGTAGTCACCATGTGGGTGCTGGGAATTGAACCTGGGTCCTCTGCAAGAGCAGTCAGTGCTCTTAACTGCTGAGCCATTTCTCCAGCCCGTTTTATTTTTTTAATGCTTTTTTTCTATAACTACCTGAATTAGGAAATTGAATTTCATAGACATTTCATTATATGGGATTGACCCATTGAAGAAGCCACTTTATAGAGCTATCCACTACTAAGGTTTTCCTATTTTAAGCCAATCATGAAATCCTACCAAATATAATTTGCTGTAATTTACCACTGTAATAGATCCTAGAATCTAAAGTTTTCCCGGACTTTCTGGCAAACAAAAACAACAACAAAAAAACCCAGTTTTTATTTTATAATACCTGGACTAAAATTTTAATTGGACATTTCACTGTTTTTTTAAATGTTTTATGTTCTCAAGCAAAAGATATTTTAACCTGAAGAGGTAGATTGATATATAGAAAACATACTTGGATCAAAATCCCAAAAAGATAGCCAGGGGAAACAGAAAATAAGTTTTATAACATATTTCAGTACATTGAAGGAATGAGATAAAAAGATTTCATAGGGAATAAACCACACTTGATGCTTGTCTTGGGGAAAAAAAAACACAAAACCTACATCAGATTTTAAAGTTGAGACTGATACCCACCATCATAAAAGAAATGTTGACTTAAGCCAAAACGTAAAATAAATCTTGTTCAAAGCTACGTATATTTTCCAAAGCCAGTTGACATTTCCTCTTGATTTACTTGTGTTGTAGGTACTCTGTTATTTTTATACATTTCCTTCATTCTGATGGTCAGGGTTGGCTTTTCAGGGTGGGGGTGATAAAGGTTGGCTGAATGCAAAGAAGCAGGTTCCAGCTTTAAGGAATCATTCTCTAATACAGAAATACGAAGTTGAAAATTCAGTCAGCTAAATGATTGGGCGAAACAAGAGTGGCTTAAAAGAAGGACCTAACGCAGATTATGAGGACAGGTTCAAAGAAATAATCAAGTTTGTCAGTGTATAACCAAAATAGAAGGAAATGGGATATATCTGGACATGAAAGAGGCATACTGGAAAAAAAATAGCTTTGATATCGCAACAAGAAGGGGATAATGCAACTTCCTGCTGGGTGTTAGAAGGCTAATTGTTTGGATGTCACCAAAACAAACAAACAAACAAAACATCCAAACAACAAAACCCCAAAACTTTTGTTACCTAAGAAATATAATCTAGGGGAGGGGAAATGGATATATTATGTTTGTATAATTAAAGGAGAAAAAAAAATCTCTAGAAATAAATTTAAAATAAATGACCCACTGCAGTTTGGCATATTTTGAGTTGAAAGGAGAGATAAATCATAAAAAGTTGAAGTTTTAGCTAAATGTCCAAATGAATTCACATATGAATTAATCAAGAAAAGCATTCATTACTAGGCATACTATTTACATAGACACCAAAAGGTGGGGACCCAGGTCTATGCCCTTAATATAGGATTATAAGCATTTTAAGGGATATATAGATACAACGATAAACAGTTATCAGATACCTGGTAAGCACCAGATTCACTCTGTAAGGGAAAAAGAGAATGGAGGGTTGAGGGATGTAGCCCAGAGACAATAGAATTTAATCCTGACCTTGAAGGATGGCAGTGTGTACTGTGTATTGAAGGGAAATGGGGTTGAAGACTGACTAACTGTTCATCCTCTGCTTATTCAGCAAAGTTTATATTGACCATCCACTTTGTACTGGCCACACAGTGCAAAATAAGTTGTTTTATTTTTTTTTCCTTATGAAACTTACTGCCCAATGAGAGAAGTCAGGAAAGTAGTAAGGACAAGAAGTACCATAAATAAGTAAACAGTACATGGAAAAGTCCTGTGTCAGGTGACTAGTAATTAAATAACGATCAAGAAATTATAAAGGGCTAGTTACAGCCCCAGTTAGTCTATTATTTTTTTATTATTTATTTTTGAGACAGGGTCTGAAGTATCCTAGGCTGGCCTTAACTCACTATGTAGGTGAGGATGACTTGAACTTTTGATCCTCCTGCCTCTACCTCCCAGGTGTAGGGATTGCAGGCATGTACCATCATACCCTGATTGG